CCAGCAAACCGCGTTATAGCAAATCAACGTTAATCGAAGCAGCTCTAATCGAGGCCTTGCTGTATAGCAGTAAAGTGAAAACGTATTACAGATCGATCGATTTAATATTCGTGTGAAATTTTAACTCATGTCAGTTAAATCCATTCCAAATATTCAATCATTTTTTTTGTTTCAACTTTTAAATTTCACCACGCCTCGCATTATCGTACAAGGATAAGGTTTAGTCAGCTGTGTAAATCGATCAATTCCGCTTCAACTCCATACCTACCTAATTCATTCAATTAACGGTATTTCATATAGCGTTTTCTATTTTAACGTTGACGCCGGCATCACCCACCAGTGGGTCATGATGTATATATAAAAGTTTAGTCGCTATGCACGCCACTGATTTTGACTGAGTACAACATCAAATATATTACGTCAATACTTTACAAAAATGTATAAGAAAAGTTTCCCCGTTTAAAGTTTGTAATTGACGGTAAGTATTTGACGTTTTACTCAGTCCATAGGCGTACACAAAAAATTTTCTCACAGCTGGCAAACCGATTTGCGCCGTCGTTAACGTGTTATTATTCTTAAACAGAAAGAAAATTATTTTATTAATTTCTATAGTGTTTTTTGTTGTCATTATAATATTTTTTATAATTTATTTAAACATTTTTCACTGGTTGGAACAAATGTCTAGCGACTTAGGTCTTTCTGCCCTTTAATCTAATTTTTATAAATGTCAAATTGACATTGACATTTGTTAATAAAAATATGTATAGTTGTTTTGACACTTGTCAATAAAATGTCGTGTCAGGTATTTAATCTGAAAATCAAGTATTCTGAATAATATATTAAAATTCTAATTATTATTCGAAGAGCATTCAAGAGCGCTCTAATTGAATATGCATTTATAAGCAATTCAGTTTTCGTGCATCAACAGCAAAAAAGACATAATTAAAAAAAACAAAAGTTATATAGCGAGTAAAGAATATCATTTTTAGCAATATCCAATAAAAAAGTAATGTATTACATATTACATAAATTAGATGAAAAATATGTTTTAAATGAATACAATCTACTTTGTTCAAAAGAAATAACATAACGTAGTAAAAAGAATCGTGATATTTAATCTGCAAATACAATGAGAAAAACTCATAGTACATTTCATCCCTTTTATTTTAAACCAAACGACTCCAAAGGAAATATTATTTTAATTTGCAGCTCTCTATGCTACGCATTTTAGACGTACCATTTTTTTAATAAGCAGTCTGCTTCTGGCTAATATAGTTTTAATTAAAATCAGAGGGTCGAACCGAAATTAATACCGTTCCGGTTTACGGTTACATTCCAGGTAAATGTTTATCGTTCCAGATTCGGTTTTGGTTCGGTTAAAAATTTCGGTTCAGTTCCGGTTGAAATTAGAATTTAAAATTATAAAATTGAAAATAGAAAAGAAATAAAAATTAATTAGTGACTAGTTAAACACATGCACTTTGTAATGTTTTTTAAGTCATGTTTACAGTAATATCCTTTTTAGTCACGTTCATTTGAGTTTGTTCTAATGTTAGTTGCACAAGATTTGTACTTGTCCTTTCTTCTTCAAATTTTCTCGTTTCAGTCGGTGGGGATTGAGGTTTTATTTATACAGATTATTAAGCGTTCCCACGGAATTTATTTATTTGAAAAAAGTATTCGGAGTATTCAAACAGACTTCATTCTTCATGTCTCTTATAAATTGTTTGTTTATATACTCTATTTACAATAGATCAACCAACACAATTGAGCAATTTTTCGTTCCGGTTACAGATACGGTTAATTTCGGTTTACGATTTTCGGTTAGGTTCCGGTTCGACTCTCTTATTAAAATATATTAGTTTCAAACAAAACCTTGATATATTCACTTGTTTAATTTATGATACATTAAGGAGCTTTATTTATATTTGAAAAAAAAATGTATATAATATTTTTGTCTATATCATTTTCATTTAATATTTAATTTCTTATTATTTAATTACTCGTTCAGAATGTAAAACGAGTTTGAAAACTGTATTGTATTATGTGTTATGTGAATTGAAGTTAATATTAAAAGTTTTCTGAAAAGAAAATCGATAGTTTTTGCTTACACGGGTTGGAATTGTAAAAGTTTCGAAAAAGTGCATTTGATTTCTTCTATAAAACTTTAGACTATTCTTAACTTGTTTTTATTGAGTCGGTGTGGATGACCTATTGATCCATTGTCTCCTCATGGAAGCTACACAAAGAAAGACAGTGCATAGACAAGAAATATATAATTTTAGCGTAATAAAGACAAATCTTAAAAAAAATAGTTATAACTCAAATATTTCAATTATACTGTTACTAACAAAATCGTATTTTTTCAATTGAAATGTGTCATAAAAGAAGCATTACCACTTTGCTTTGAGATAACTTTTAAATTGAGTAATACAAATATATTTATTTACTGACAATAGTTAATACAGTTTAATTAGTTTTGACTGCCAAATGGAAACTGATATAATTACAAATAAGACAAAAAATGACAAAACAATATAGTAATAGTTAATAAAGGGTGTCTCAAAATTAACGCAAGATTTGAATTTGCCGCCATTTGTGCAGTAAAGTGTTGGCAAACCCAAAAAAACAAATTCAAATCTTGCGTTAATTTTGGGACACCCTTTATAAATACTTGCATTTGTAAATAATAAATCCATAATGTATAATAAAACAATGTAAAGGAAAATTTATTCTCATCACAAAATAAAAAAAAGCATTGTTAAAAGCAGCTCAATGTCTAAATAAGCTGCACTAGTTGAATGTTCCAGGCTTAATGAATAGCCCAGAGACTCATTAAAAGCGGAATTAGTGCGCAGTATATTTCTATAGAAAAAAATTAATATAAAATATATCAATACACAAGTATGTCTATGAGGATTATATTAAATTTCTGCAATTAATAATGTTTAAATGTGCAGACTTGAAAATTAAACAATAAAAGTGATGAATGAATGAATGAAAATAATATAAACTAAAAGTCAATGCTACATCAATATAAAGTATTACTTTGAAGAATTGCAAATATAATTCAGTAGTAAATAAACAAGAACTCTAGTGTACTACATAGTTAATTCGGTAATGCTCAAAATCTTCCAATTTCTACACTAAAAAGGAACAATTCATACACCCTATGGATGTATGATGTATGATACACCCTATGGATGTAGATATTGGATTTAAATACTAATTTCTAAAGATGAAATATAAATTCTTATATGAAAATTTGTACGAAACTGTTGAAAGTGCTTTTAAGGAAAATGGTAAAATGCTCCCACAGAAACGTATTCATATATTTGAATGTAATCGCTTAAACGCCGACGATATTTACGTCAGGACACGATTTGGCCCTTACATTACGATCGATACGATATGGCAGCAATAAAGCCTTCCCAACAACAAGTGGCCCACTTGTGCGGAGGAATCCCATTGAGCGCGGATGGGAATAAAACAACAATAAACAAAACGTGAAGCCTTACACACGTTGCCACCTTTTTCACTTAACAAAATTAATGTATTTTTTTTATTACTCCTTCCTCCCACCGCAAGAAAAAAATGGGAAAAATATGAGTGAACTGGTGACAGATGAAAGTGTTGAGTGTTGAATTTACTTGATGCAAACAAATATGGAGGAGCGTCTCTTAAAGCAAACCATCGACATTCCGCCGTTGATAATAACTTCGGCAAATTCGAGTCCGGAGATGAACAAGCGGCAGTTCGACGTGGCGACGCCGTCCCCTCAGGCATCTCCGACGATCCAGACTCGTGCTCGCGGCCTGCAGACATCCCCTATTGGAAACAGAGCCGCCGATTACATGACGCTCGATCTAAAAAACTCTCTGAACACGCGCAGATGTAGCGAACGGAAGGCCAGTTTCGAGCAGCACAGCCAGAAGAGAAACATAGGTCTTGTATTTGCAGCACAATGTTAAACTAATAACAAAGAAACAAACAATCAATCAATCAATCAATCGGAGTGAGCCTCGTATATATGAAAGTATACACGTAACTATGTTTTATTCTGCGCCACTAGTTTTTAGGCCGTAACCATAGTGATTAGTTGCATTTTGTACTTAATTACTACAGGTATCCTTGGTATAAAGCAGTAGTTACTTTATTAGAAAACCTCATGTAGTGCGAAACTGTGTTATGTGGTATTAAGACTCAATGTTTAATTAAGAATTACATGTTTTTTTTGTAAAATCATCTTAGATAATTTCAGATTTCGTTATATAGTATACAACTTAGTTATTACAGTAAAATAAAGTATAACTTGTAACAAAGATTTTACAAAAATCAATTATATTTTATTACTTTTTATCGCTTTTATTTCAAACAAAATTTATTATTAAAAAACTTTAAAATCCGTATTAATTGAAAATGCACCGTGCTATTGGGAACATTCATCCGATCGTGTTGTAATAGTATCGTGTTATATGAGGGATACCTGTATATATTGAAGCCTACGAAAACTAGAGCAATGGCAGAAAACATAGAAGGCTTGATGCGAACGGTGGCATTTGTTCTCGGAATGGATGTCACTCTTTTGACATTGACAGTTTGCAATGGCTCCTAACCTTTGACATTTCTTCCATATTTGTTTGCATCCGGATATGATGCGAATGCGTAGGTGGTTCATTAAAATACGATATCGGTCGTAATGAGTCGGCAACGAATTTAATTAATACGGCCACGAAATGGTCGAGTGTGAGGATCAAAGGGACAGGCTATAACGATTCAAGGAAGAGCGTGGTGAAGATCGAGCCTTGCAACGGAATTCCTATCACGATGCAGAACAGCAAAGAGTACGAGAGTCTGCGAAGCCCGAAGCAGCCGGGTGCCGACAAGAAATCCAACATCGGAAATGTACCAGAAAATTTATTTTTATTTTAGCATCCATTTCTCATCTCGTTTTTGATGATTACTAATTGTTGTTGTTGTTGTTTTTTTATTCTTCGCAGGTTTTGAATTTGGGTGCCGATGTGTTACCGGAGTACAAGCTTCAGAATCCCAGGATCCACGACTGGACGATCCTGCATTACTCGCCGTTCAAGGCGGTATGGGATTGGATCATTCTGATCCTGGTGATGTACACGGCCATCTTCACGCCGTACGTCGCCGCTTTCCTCCTCAACGAACCGGACTCCAGGTCCAAATCGAAGAAGTACGGCGACGATCCGATCGTCATCATAGATTTAATAGGTACGACCGATCTCGCCGACGGCAAACAGATTATCTATAAGCGTGCATCTTTGACTTTTCAGTGGACGTGACTTTTATAGTTGATATACTTATAAATTTCCGCACCACTTATGTGAGCGGAAATGACGAGGTCGTCTCGCATCCAGCCAGGATTGCAGTGCACTACTTGAAAGGCTGGTTCCTCATCGATCTAGTCGCCGCGATACCTTTCGATCTTTTGTTGTACAACAGCGACACCGACGAGGTAAGATATCCTCACACCATACTTCACCGCAACCACCATCCATCGATATACATATAACACGCCAATATATATATATATATAAATATTACATGATTAGTTGTAGCTAAAAGCGGATCTTGGAGTCTCCACAACTGTTACACTGACATTTAACAAACGTCAAATTACATGAAATTACGTCTAAATCAAAATCAAAACACATATACAGTGAATACTCGAACCTCGAACACAATCAGTTCCAAGTGACAGTTCGACATTTAAATTGTTCGAATTGCAAGTAAAACTTCCCGCATAAGTTCCTCTTTCAAAGATCAAAATGGCCAATGTCAATTGTTTATTTCAATAGATTCAACATTTGTTCTAATTTCAAAACCGGATTTTTTATCTATATTCTTGTTTCGTTCGTATTTCGAGAATTCATTGTACCAACCTTTATTTTTAAATACGATACGATACGAAAAAAGCATCCAGGATCCGCACAACACGAAACTAAATAAATTTGCGAATGATTTAATGGATGTCTTAATTGTTGTTTAGATGTTTTGTTTTTTTTTAGACTAATCTCATTTACTTCCCTTACATATTATTTTCTTAGATTCTCCTCCCTCTATTTTCCTTTATTTTTAGTGTATCGATAACATAAAAAAAATAACTAAAAACATATAGTACACGAACATAAGCTAACTCTCGGTTAGATTCGCGTTCTACACCTGTTTTTTCTTCTTATATTTTACTTGATTTGACCATTATCATCTGAATATTTACTTCATACTACTTTAGTTTTGTTTTCTTCGATTTCATCCTTATCTCGTGTCTTACGTTTGTTTCGTTCTCTCGTTTTATTATTTATTTTTGTTTATCCTGTATTTTATGAAAGTGTTTTCTTTTTACATTTCCTTTTCTCTAGTTGGGCTTGGACAAAGACGAGGTAGATGATAGTTTGTTTTATACTCGCAAATTGAATTAAGTAATTAAAAAAAAATAAGATATTTCTAGACGAATATTATATTTCGCGAAAACCACAAAGACGAACGAAAAATATTAATAATATTTTAAATTTAAAAAATACACACACGTATGTTATTTTGCAATTTGTTTTTTTCTAATGTTCCCAACACTCACTTTCGAATTATTACAATAATGAACGTAGATGCAGGAAAGGCGTTACAACAACGGCCTTTTTTTTGTTATCGATTGTCTTGTTTTGTTAGTCTAAAAAAGTAGTCACGATTTCGCATTACGATATGAAATCTGAGAAATAACTGATATAATATTCGTCTGTGCGACTTGAAATATATTTAATTACTTACTTTTTTTTTTCGTTAATTAATTGAAACGAAAGAGATTCGCCCACAATTCGTTTTCTTTTCTTGTTCTCTTTGATTTTTCTCTTTTTTTGGCTCACGCTTTACGAACTTTTTCTTGGTTCTTTTGTGTTTCTTCTCTTTTTTCTTCTTCCTTATTTAATATGATTAATATAATTAATTATTATATGTATACTTTGATATATACGTATACATGTTAGACTCGATATTCGAATTCGGGTAATACCCATACGTTTGACAGAACAACTTAACCTAAATACATGCGTCAAATCAAACACATTTCTAATCTCCTATCCAATATCTCAGTGTAACCTAACTCAACATAACTCTTATCCTAATACAAAACTATCCTAACCTCTAACCAAACTTTATTTAATATAAACTAATTTAACTTAACCCTTCAAAACATATCATACGATAGAATTGTATGATAGGTTTTGAAGGGTTACGTAAACTTAACCTATTGTAATATTATCCTAGCTGGAATTAACTACCATTACCCAATTTTGACTTAACTTTTTGAGGACATGCCTAATCAGGCATTATTATAATTTTCTAGAGAATTTGATTGATATGTCAAGGGATGAATTTTGATAGTTGTTGGGTCTAGAAATTTGCCCTTCAGAGAGTTAAACTAAATTCCCACAATCCGGATTAACCTAACCTAATCTACATTGATGTTATATTTTGACTGGTTAATGAAAAGTTCAGTATTCAATAATAAATTCGCATATCGAGTACAACGTATAAATTTGGCTTTAGCTAAGCAACTAAACTAAAATGAAACTAAATTGTACATAAAGTATAGGTGCTTGCATGTTGGCGTTATTTGTTTTTTCATTTTTTTTGTTTTGTATTCTTATTTATCCTTATAGTTTGGTAAAAAAAAATTGGGGCGTAAATAATATTCCCCTCGTTCTTTTGCAGACGACCACTTTAATAGGGTTACTAAAAACAGCCCGTCTGCTTCGTTTAGTCCGTGTAGCCAGGAAAATAGACAGATACAGCGAGTATGGTGCGGCCGTACTGTTATTACTTATGGCCACATTTGCTCTTATAGCTCATTGGTTAGCATGTATATGGTGAGTAGGCGGAGTTTAGCGGAGTGCGCATGTGTAGTTCGCTTAGGGCGACATTTCCTATCGGATGAGCTGACCTTTGCTTTTGCGATGACCGCCCTTCTAGGTACGCCATCGGAAATGCGGAACGTCCTCTGATGAACTTCGGGTGGCTTCACATCTTGGCGAACGACACCCAGCAATATTACATGCCGAACGACACCGGAGGACCATCGATACGAAGCCGATACGTGACTGCCCTCTATTTCACCTTCACCTCACTGACGAGCGTCGGATTTGGCAACGTGGCACCGAACACGGACGCCGAGAAAATATTCACGATATGCGTCATGCTCGTTGGATGTAAGCAATTTTTGTCATCATTTCAACGATGATGATGAAATTAATCAATCTGTTTCAGCCCTTATGTACGCCAGTATATTTGGAAACGTTTCCGCCATCATCCAAAGATTGTACTCGGGGACGGCAAGGTACCATACTCAGATGCTGAGGGTTCGAGAATTCATCCGGTTCCACCAGATTCCCAATCCCTTGCGTCAAAGATTAGAAGAGTACTTCCAACACGCATGGACTTATACGAACGGAATTGATATGAATAGTGTTTTGAAAGGATTCCCTGAGTGCCTACAGGCGGATATATGCCTGCATTTAAATAGAAACTTATTGCAGAATTGTTCTGTCTTCGATGGAGCGAGTCCTGGCTGTCTTCGGTAACAAAACAAAAAATACATACATAAACAAAACTTCAACAATAATATCATATTACCTTCTTGCAGTGCGTTGACATTGAAGTTTAAAACAACGCACGCGCCACCTGGAGACACCCTGGTGCATCGAGGGGATGTACTGAATTCGCTATATTTCATTTCACGAGGATCCATCGAAATACTTCGAGACGACATCGTGATGGCGATCCTCGGAAAGTTCGATATATTTGGTGAGAATCCATGCGCCCACGCAACGCTAGGCAAATCTAAATGCAATGTACGAGCCCTCACCTACTGCGATTTACACAAGATCCATCGCGATGACCTTCTCGACGTCCTTGAATTATACCCAGAGTTCTATTCTCAGTTCATGAACAACCTAGAGATCACATTTGATTTACGCGACGTGAGTTCAACTCCAAAAATTAACCATCCCATCATCTTAATCGACGCGTCTCTTTTTATGCAACAGAACGATCAAGCTGGAGTCGTTCCGAAAACGCATTACTACGGACGCGTGCAATCGCAGGAACGAGAAAGCCGCTACTTCAGGACAACGCATTCCCGTTCGAACGGCCACTCGAGTCGCGGGAATTCCGTAAACGGAAGGCAGGAGTCTCAGTGCAGCGAAGAGTCTGAATCCGGTAATGATCATTAGGCGATTTGCTATTTAGTCAATTCCCCTAATTGGATTTAAATTCAAGGTCATGGAATCTTAGAATTTTCTACAGAAAAAGCCGGTCAGGATGTAACGCCCGTAAACCTGGAGTACGGCGACGAGAAGCGCAGATCAACTACGTTAAACTCGATCACCGGTAAGTTAACATTCCTGTATTGGCAAGAGTCCAAATACGAAAGCACACATTTAGCGCGAGCTTTTTTTCTTTTCGAAATTAACCAACAACACCAAAACAAAAAAGAAAGAAAAACAACAAATTTAATATACCTAAAAACGATATAATTAAAGCACCCTCTAAACTCGAAGGTAATAACAAATAATTTTGCTATGTTTTATTGATACATTTTGTTTGCCTTTGGATATATATTATTTGCGCTGCGGAAACTCAACGTGTTTTGTTCCTCGTCGAACTATGAATGCAATCGTTTAATTTCCAATGCGCTTCGTACATTATTTGATTTTGAAATATCTTAGATCACCCTAAATAAAGTTGTACTTTAATGCACTTTGCGAGAGAAAGAAGAGAGGAGGAGGAGGATATGACAAGTTTTTTTTAAGTTGATATATTGATAATAGCTAGAACGAAAAGAAATTATTTTTTTTAATATTATTATTACTTCCCCCCCCCTTATTTGATTCGTTTTTGTAAAGAGAAGGAACTGAATGTGTTTAGGCATGCTTTCACAACTCAAACGAAGTATCCCAGATTTAAGGTTACATAAAACCACCCACCAGCCTCTGATAGGTAAGTTATGAACTGAATTTAATACACACAATACACACGTAAAGTAAATCTCTGATCTCTGATCCAAGTAGAATTAAACCAATTGCCGAGGGTTAGAGCTTTGTCATTTCAGGTTGATTGACACTGCTAGGATCGTATTATGCACATGTCTCGCAGCTCTAGTAGTTCATTTTATATATTTTATGAGATTCTTTTTTCTGTCCGCAAACTTAGTTGTTTAAATAATATTGATATTGATGGAATAGCGAAATAGATTGTTTGCTTGATTGTTTTGGAATAAATGCGAATAGCGAGGTGCATGCTCTCCATAATACATTTTAATGCGAAAAGCGGCGACTGAAGGGGGCGGCCTTAAAAAAAGAATTAACGTAAATATACCAACGACAAATTAAGAATACTCTAGCTAATATACGATTAATTAGATTAACAATTAATGTATTAAAATTGATGTTGTCAATGTTTTTTTTTTATTGTTGTTATTCAGTGTTGGGGGAGCATAATTAACTGAATGTGATTTGCTTTTTGTTTTGAAGCACATTCGACGCCGCCCTCCACTCATAGGATCCGAACCATTCGTCGCCAGTCGTCAGTGGGGGCGTATCACGACAACGCAGCGGCCCCGCCCTCCGCCCATCAGCAGCAGCAGAACCAAGCCCCTCTGTCTAGTAGTACCAGCTACTACACGAACAGCCCTAGTCCACCGCATCAGCAGCAGGGCGAAGAGTACCTGCAGCAGCAGCAGCAACCTCAATCAGAGTCAGAGGAGTCGCAGCAGCAGCAGCTGTCGCATCAGTGCAACTCCGGCCCCCAATGTTTGACACATTCCAATCAATCCCATTCTGATATTATAGTTTTAAGTAGGAACCAATATGAAATTATGAACGGCCGCTTGGAACAGTTGTCGCGTCAAGTTGAAAGGCTCGAGCAGACGCTGACCTCGGATGTGCGACTCATACTCAGCATGCTTCAGGGGGGAGGAGCCGGCGCTACGAAATCGACCAAGGAGGTAACGCCCATCCGCACACACTTCTCACACGTTAACTCCTCCCATACAGATTTAAATATTTTAAATTAAAGCACAGGCAAAGTTCACTAATTGTTAACCACTGGTCTTCACTTTTCACGGCGTCTTTTCTTTATAATAGGAAAAATAGTGATAATCCAATTTTCAAAAGTGAGTTTTTGGGATTTGTCTCGATGTCCTAAAATGTATTTACATGGTGTACTTCAGCGGTTTGCAAACTGGGAGACGCAAAAAAATTACAAGAAATATAATTGTCGTTTATTTTTTTTTAAGTGAAATTCTAATTTTAAAAGTGCTAATTTAATTTGAGTAGAAATGGCGTGTATTTTTGAAAATGTGGGAATTGCCCAACAGTTGTTAAGTTCTATTGCTTATTTTCAGATTCCGGATTACGAGAACGTATCGATAGATCCGAATCGGACGAGGTTCATATTCCAGAGGTCCGTGAGCGAACCAAAGCCCATCTCCTCGAAAACGACACAACATTCCCAGCAAACAATGCACAGGTTCGCCTCGTTCAACAGGGCGTTCGATTTCGATAAACCCTCTGACCCGTGGACCGAAGAAACGGCCTTCAAAGAGAGCGAAACCTTCAAAAGCACGAACGGAGACGAAGAAAAGACAGCCCCGATCGCGAAATTGGAATCCCTCGACGAATTGGATCTGGTAAAGAATCGACAGGACCGCAACCATCTGCAAGCTATAATTCTAACCTTATTTGTTGCAGGAATCTCCACTGTCCAGTCCGAAGATACCGAAGAAATAGGAAGATCGATTTCACCATGAACAAACAAAAATCCCTCCTCCCACTCCAACTTGCATCATCACATACGTTTGCGTACTGCTTCGAAAGCACAAAAAGAATCTCACAACCCTAATTTTATACTTCATCAATTATTATACGTTCGTTTTTAATTTCTTAACGGAGAAGGACAACAACAACAAAATAAAAACTAAATGATAATCGCGCAAAAGCTTTTGAAAACCTAGTTATGGGTTTTTAGTGAAGTGAGTTTGGAAAAGATTATGTTTAGGGAATAGTTTTTAGACCCGACCAACAGAGTATAAATAACGTTATAGAAAGGGAATTACAGAAGATATGAAATATAAATTTTTACATTACATTAAGGAACGTGGAAAACGAAAAGTGATTGCTTCATAGACTGTTCGTTGATAATTATAGTCGTTTTTTGGGCAGAAATAAAAATTCCAAAAAGAAAAAAGGATGACACTAATAAATAACTAGCGAGCTAAATTTATTAAATTAAATCACAATTATTTTCTTTTCTCTATCACTCTTTTTCATGTTTATAATTTTTTTTGATGTGCGACAATTGATCGTGATATTAAACATATCTTGGATTGAATTAGGTTATGTTCAGGTTTGATACGATTACAATTTAATTGGACCAATTAGCTTCGATCCGTAACTCCTCCCACAAACATAGCCAACTTGTTTTTTTTGTTAATTTCTCCTTATTTCGCTTAAAACATCTATCGTATATAAAAAATAATACAATATAAACGAAGTGTCTTATTGTAAGGGAAGTTATTTATTAGTGTTAAATGAGAGAATTAATAAAAATGGTCGCAGCTTTTATTGGGCAAGCGGGAATTTAAAAAAAAAGAAGAAGAAGGAAATACAGTTTTTGGTATTCGGTAAAATAATTTATATACCCAGAAGATATAAGGAGTAAAAAGAAAATAATGAAATATATATACACACAAAAAATCCGTCTTTAAATTATAAAACTATCGTTAAACAATGCAATTGGAAAAGAAAAAAATAACATAGATCGAGTGTAATTCGAAACCCGAAAGAAGATAATTACATGAAGAAGAAATCTTTTCCAATTCATCAAAAAAAAATGAATGAGCAAATTAAAAATAAAAAAAAGAGTGATTTTTGTTTGATATTTGTGAGACATACAGAAGATATGAAATTACTAATAAGAATAAAATCTCGTTATTTATTGTTCTTCATTATTTTTTCTCATCGTTTCGTTTCCAATTTTAAATTATCGGTCGCGTTCTGCACGTGCCCCTTTTTACCCTGATAATATTTATGAACAAAAGTTGAAGAATACAACAACAAATATATATATGAATTGATTGAATACATTTGTAAGCTTGTTTATCGCGTCATTACAGCTTAAGATATCAACATTTTGTAAGCACAAAATAAAATATGTTTATACACGTTTTACCATATTTTTAATAAGATGTAAACAAAGAAAACAATAAAATATTAAAGAAGAAAAAAAAACAAAAGAAAGAAAAATATCCAATCAATACATTTATTTTTCTTCTCGTCCATGCTCTCATCTAAAACTTGTTTCGATGTTATTTATAATATGATTATTATGTAAACACAGTTGCCTACAAAAAAAAACTAAAACCTAAGAGCTTGTAAGTAGATATACTCAATGATTTCGAATGTTGCTTTCTTCGCAAATTTCTTTTTTAAACAGCTCTTTATACGACTATATGTGAATTATAATAATAAAGCAAATTAATTTCAGTGTTTGTATAATTGGTTGCTTGCATTACTGGCGTTAGTTGTCAGAAATCAACATAACCTCTACCCGAAAATCCTAACCTCTCAATAATTTCAATTTATTTACATTTGGCTGAAAGAAAATGTTTAGGAATCTATTGAAGTCGCAAACAATACAATTATTAGTAAAACGAAACGCCGGACATTCGAAATGGGCGAACATCAAACATACGAAAGGTCTGAAGGATGCTCAACGGGGAAGTCTCTTCACAAAACTCAGCAGGCAAATAAAAATAGCTATTACAGGTAATTGAAAGCATCCAATGGATCTGAATGTAATTCTCATTATTTGCAGAGGGTGGTTCCATTGATCCGAAACTGAATTTGAAGCTCGAGCAGGTTTTGGAGCAAGCCAGAAGAGCCAATATGCCAATGTCGACTGTGCAAAATGTTATCAAGAGTTCTCAGGTCGATAAAAAGCAATGCAAGAGTCATATGTTCGAAATTAAGTAATGTTAAATAACTGTATGCAATAATTCCTATAACTCAATTATTTAAGGGGTCCAGGTGGTTGCATAATCCTGTGCGAAATTTTCTCCGATCACATTCACATGTCCAAGCAGCAGATTGCTACAATCGTGAAGAAATATTCGTAAGAACGGAAAATTCGGAGACTTCGGAAAATTCTTAATTTGTAACATCGTTTTCAGTTGCAAATTTTCTGATGGCGGAGGAAGGCATCTGTTCGAAGAGAAAGGCATAATCGAAGCGGAGATACCGGAAGGCAGTGGAGAGATTTTGGAATTGGCAACGGATCATGCAATCGAATGCGGCGCAGAGGATGTCAAAGTTGGAGAGGATACTTTGGAGTTCATCTGCGGATCAACAAATCTGAAGAAAGTAGCGGATGCTTTGGAAAACGCCAAATACAATATCCTGAGCGCATCCGTCGAGTACATCCCGATGCGACATCAAACTTTAAGCGATACTGAACTGCAAACGTGCAGCGCACTATTTGAAAAATTGGAGAATTTACCCGAAGTTGTTAAACTGCACGACAATATAGCGTAGTCTATAGATTTATTTATTTTTTTAATATAATAAATTGTTTTCAATAGTTTTGAATTTACCGCCTTCTCACTGACAGCTCCGCTCGATAATTGAGCAAAGCTGTCATCTGTCAATTCGAGTTTTGTAGGAAGGTGTCAGATTCAGTCAGCTTAATCAAAACAAATAACATAAATGTGTACTAGATTCTAGTTATCAAAAATCAGATTTAAGCAAATATGTTTATGAAAATCATCTACTTACTGCTGTTAATGAGAATTCACTTTGTAAGTAACCGAATTTCATTGAATTTATCAACATATTGTACATTTATAACAATATTTCCATTGTTTTGAAGGTGTTCAGTCATTACTGTGAATTTGCTTGGTGCAATGACGAGACGCAAGACTGCTGTGGCGACAATAAATGCTGTGACAAATCTTTGGATCTGACCTTTGTTTGGTAAAAATCTAATCTAAATGTAAGTTAAACTTTAAACTGATTGTACGTTTTCAGGGTGGGATTTCTAATTGCATTCCTCATCATAACAATAATCTTCATATGGCACAAATGGAAAAACAACCAGAGCAAAACTGATTATAAATATCACACTTTACAAACAGAGCCACCACAAACCATTTAAATGTCATTTCTTTTATTTATTATTGTTACTGTGATCAGTAGTTGGTAGAATGTACTTAATTATGAAATGGAAAAAAAAGTATTATAATCTGTATATTAATTAATTGTGATATAATTTAGGGCGAAATGATGTAATTTAATTTTTCTTGGATTTAGTTAATCTAGTCAAAAAAAAATAAATGTATCTATTATTTTAAATTATAATGCAATCACATAATAGTTTTATTTGACTATAAATTGAGGAAGTTTATTAATAACAGGTTAACTAACTATTCTATCCAATTCATCTCTTGGTGTCTTCTACCAAAGGAGGCTGAAACAAAATGTTGTTGGGTGATGTTCTTGTTTGTTTATTATTTTGCTTGTTACCTGGAGAGTGTGATCTCGGGCATTCCTGGATCGGCGCCTTTTTTGAATCCTGAACATATAGACAAACGTGAGATTATGCTCGGTAACCTCGAAATTGGTGTTTAACTCACCTAAGTAAAGAACTGTTGGGATGAAACCGTAGTGGAAGACGGTTTTTGTCAAGTTGATGACGATGTTCAATCGCTCCTTAGTACCTTCGGATAGGAATGCCATTTCTTTATTTTTTGTTTGTTTTTTGATAAGAGAGGAAATGCACTTGCAAATTTTGGGGATGCTCCGAAAGTTATTGATTTCTATTTGTAGGTTAGCGTCAAGATGAGTTTGACATTCCACTAAATGGATGCAGAGTGCAGTTGCTAGATGTCGCTTCGAATCGCTTCCGGTGAGCAATTGGAATTCTCATTGGATTCGTTTGATCAGATGAATCAGTTGAATCGATTTTGAACCATTTTCGAATGTTAGGGGGTGGCTTCGGTGGTTGAGCTGCTATTTGTGAAATAATTGGTCGTTCAGGGATAAATGACGAACTTTTCCGTAAACAACCGTGTGTGAACGAGTCAGAACGAGCGGCGCAATCGATGAAAGGAGTGTTTCGCATCGGGGTTTTTAACGAGAAGTTTAGTGGAGTTTCCGAATTTCAATATCGGTTCGTGTTTCATTGATTGGGAGCTCTTTCAAATTTGGAATTTGTGAATCGTATAGGACGCCGCGTTTTGGACCGAAAGCGAAAAACTGCGCAACGAAGGATGATAATGGAGGCAAGATATGGACTCGGCTCATTATCAGCTGCCGTGTGACAGGTAGGAGGAAATCCATTGATCTTGGTGGTGTTTTCGCCGAGTGCAATTCGCGGAAAGGAAGGAAAAGAAGAACGGAAAACGACGATAGCAATAACAAACAAACAGACGACCTGAGATAAACGCGAAACACGCACCCCCACACACGGTTGGAAATTTCGGTGAAACACAGTAGTGTTTGTAGAGTTGTGAGTGAGCTGCATTTCTTTGGCAGAACCATGTCACTACCCAACAGTGGCCAGGGCTTGTCCAAGCTCAAGAAGAAGCATTTCAGAGTCAAACACCAGAAGGTGAAGCTCTTCAGGGCCAATGAGCCCTTCCTCTCTGTCCTCATGTGGGGCATCAATCACACAGTAAGTTCCAAATTCATCTAACAAATCGAACCAATATCACTTCTACCTGCTGCTCTTCTAGATCAATGAGCTGATGCATGTCACCATACCAGTCATGCTACTGCCGGACGACTTTAGGGCCTATTCAAAAATCAAAATTGACAACCATTTGTTCAACAAGTGAGTAACAAATTCATTAGCATGGGTGGGGTTCTGACAACCTTTCCATTTCTTATCACGAAACGTAAACAACTATTTCAGGGAGAACATGCCATCACATTTCAAAGTCAAAGAGTACTGCCCAATGGTATTCAGAAACATCCGTGAGAGGTTTGGAATTGATGATTTAGATTACAAAGAATCATTGACCAGGTATATTTCATTATTGATTGCCTTTTACAAAGAATCATTTAATTTCCCATCATTATCACACAGATCTCAACCACTCCCAGACGACTCCTCAGGCAAAAGTGGAGCAAAATTTTATCTGTCCTCAGACAAACTGTTCATCATCAAAACATTAACATCCGAGGAGGTGGAGAGGATGCATTCATTTTTAAAGCAATACCATCCAGTAAGTGAAATTCCCATTGCAATTATTTATTTACGTTTCGCATCTGTATATCATTTATTGTTTTCCTTCTGCGAGGAGAGAGAGAAAAAAAAAGCACGTTTCTCTGCTAGTGGCGCATTTCATATTTATAAATAGCTCTTGGAATTTGCAGCTATGCAGATTAAGAGGCCAATAGCACAGCAGCTAATTAAATGATATGATTGTTTCCTGGAAAATGCAATTAATTACCAGCTTGTGAATGTTTATTGTACTCTTGTAATGGCACCAGATAAAATGGCAAAAACCACTAATGATTATGTTATCAATAAATAAGTGGATATTGCGTTCATTCTAACAAATCAAATTCGATTGCGTGTAAGCAAATATTGGAACTAGATAAATTATCTAATTTTAACTTTAATAATCATATGCTTTGACAGGCAATAAGACGTTGTTGGATTGTTGTTAAACTAAATCATTGCTACTATCTTTCTTTGTGCATAATCCACGCCATAAAATATCTATTTTTATTTTAAACGTTGTTTTATTGCTTCACATTTTATAACAGAGGCTACACTTTTTTCCCCACATGTCCGATAGTATTTTGTGTTCTGAATGCAACGGTATTGATTTGCGGCAAATGCAATGTTAAAAACGTAAATGGAGTTATTGTGTGTTTATGGTTGAAATGTCAATCAATGATATGCATATTCCGAGCCGCATTTCGCATAAATTTCAATTCATATGCATAAATCTTTTAGCGAAAACGGAAATAACGTCGCTTTTCATAACAAATGCCTTTCTCTATATTAAAAAAATAAAATAACGTGAATGTATGACAGGGTATTCGAAGTGAAATGTACGTAAATACAGTTTACGAGTTGCGCGTTTTCAAAAATATCAATAAGGTTCTACTTATAAATTACTTTATCTAGAAAATAATATGATATTGGGAATAACCACATCGTGTGTATTGATTGGCAATCGCGTCAAAAAAAATCCCAAGTGTATTATGATGCAACTATGGGATTTCTTAAATCTTCTGTAGTTTGAAACGATTCCAAAGAAAAAAATCTAGTACGTATTAAAACAAAAATATACGCAAAGAAACAACGCAAATATTCGCTTATTTTAGACATGCACTGTTTACTATCTATTTAGTATATATACTAAAGTTTATTTGCATTAGTTAACAAATAGTAAACAAAAATAAATACGCATTCTTAATTACAATTATCAAAAACCATTGCATATAACAATAGTTTTTTGCACTTTAATACATATATACAGTAGATTCCGCTTAATCGGGACACTGGGACAGCCGCTTATTAATCCTAAAGAACAAATGGAACATCGAATAATTGGGACGTCCCGATGTTTGCTGCAGAAGAGTAAATTTACGTTTCACTTTTAATAATAATAATAATTATTATAACAGTATTTAAGCAAATAACAATTAAAACATGTTCATGTAATCATATTGTTTAACATTTATGTTTTTCAAATCAAAAATACCTGAGATGTGGCTTCAAATATAAAGATATATCATAATTGTGTTGTTTTTTTTTCATATTTATTGTACAGGTTTTTTTTATTATAAATGTACTGAGGTGTTTTTTCTGAAGGTGAATTTAACGAGTTGTTCGAGAATTCGTGTAAACAATAGTCGCCATCATATTAATAACAATATTGCATGTTTTATGTAAACAAGAAAATGCATGACACGGAACGGTATTTTATTTATAAGTAAGGTGCAATTTGTGCAGATGTTGCATGCGTAATTGTTGTTTGTTTGTTCATATTGAATTTTGAAAGGTGCTTAAATGAAATATTAACAATTTTTGAAGCGAAGACGGCGGACTTTGTGGTGTGTAATAATGTATTGTTCTTGATTGTTTGTAGTTTATTGTTGAGAGGCACGGAAAGACTTTGCTGCCCCAATATTTGGGCATGTATCGATTGACCGTGGACAATAACGAGCACTACATTGTCATAATGCGCAACGTATTTTCGAATCACCTGAGCACACACAGAAAATTCGATTTGAAGGGCTCGACGGTCGACAGGGAGGCCTCCGACAAAGAGCTGGAAAAGGACTTACCCACCTTCAAAGACAATGATTTTGTCAAGCAACAAATGAAGGTATATGTCATATTGGTTATAATATAGATAGTAAGTCTGATCTCTACATGATTATTTACGGTTGACAGTATCTGATCGATACTGTTCGAGAGGTCTTTGTAATCTTCAATAGTAAATTGATGTTTTAGGTATATATTGGTGAAGAGGCCAAGCAGAAATTGATGGAGACTTTGACGGCCGACGTGGAATTCCTAACTAAGTTGCATCTGATGGACTACAGTTTACTATTAGGTTCGTAGAGAGTAGTGGTAGTTTCGGATGGGTCAAGTTATGTAATCCATTAGGTATACATGAAACGGAACGCGGAGAGCAGGAGATGCAGCGCGACAGGGAACGCAGGGATGCGGCCGAAGGGCAGGGGCTGGAGTCGGATGAGAGCGAGGCCGGATCGGGATTAGATAATAATCGGCCTTTCGGCATCAATACCCCGCCGGACTCGCCCAATGCTATCGCTCAATTTATCAGAGACTGCAGTTTACAATACGATGGTAAAGGATAAATCTCCTCATTCTTTAAGGCGGTTGCCCTAATAATAGTGTGTTCCTTTGAAGGTGGTATCATACCAGAATTGGACATATATGCAATACCGAGTTGCGAAACGGCTCCGGTGGCTGAGATCTATTTCGTTGCCATAATCGACGTTCTGACTCATTACGGCGTCAAAAAGCAAGCTGCCAAAGCAGCGAAGACCGTCAAATATGGGAGCAACGTCGATGGCATCAGCACCTGTGATCCAGAGCAGTACGCGAAGCGTTTCATCGATTTCATCTCAAAAGCGATCGAATAAAAATCGCCAAACAACAACAAAATGTATGCATGCATGCGTCCTCGTGCGTATGCAGAACACAACTAAGTAATCTAAAAAAGAAAGGGTATATAGAAGAGGTTAACAGAAAAAAGAATGGTACTAACTAAAAACATGTTTTATTATATTTTTTTTCCTTTTTGTTACTATATATATATTTTTTTGATACTTTTTTTTTGATTATTTTTAATTATTCTTTATATATAATATTGTGATTTTTAAGTGTATATATTATTATTACTATTATAAATATATGTATATTATTAGGAAGAATGAACGAGAGAGGCAAAAAGCAAGTTATAAACAACGGGGATGCAGGAAGAAGAAAGAAAAGCGTAATTTTTATATATGTTCATGTTTCAATTACATTTATAATTTGTTTGCGTTTGCTGACAAGTGGCGTACGGAGCGTCACGAAGAACATGTACTTTTTTTTGGTTTGAAAGAAGAAAAAACCGATGCGAATGCGCGCACGTATTTCAAATTGAAGTGTAGAAACGAATGCAGGAAATAAACAATAACTAGCTTTTCTAAAAGATGACAATTCAATTTCAATCAAGAGAACCATAAATAAATCTATTTAACGAGGAAGAATAAAATTATGATGAAGAGAAGAAGTCGATAAAAAACGAGCAGCGTTTGCAATAATGAAAATGAAGAATTTATTGTGCATTTAATTTGTTTGTATGTTTTGTTTAGAAAGGAAAGCAATTTTCTCGATTTTTTTAATAAGCCAAAGTGTATTTAAAAAATAATAATATTTGAAAGACAAAAAAAAACCTATTTATATTCAATTCGTATTATAACTATATATTATATTATAAATATATATTAAAAAAAATCTTTCATAACTTTACTACTACAATTTTCACAAAACTCTTAAAATATATATATATATACAAAAACAAAAAAAGCAGAGAAAAATATCCTTATATATGTTTATATAAATATATAAGATTTTCCTAATACTTGTCAATATAATTGTGCAAACCGATACTTGGATCCTTTTTACTATGAACTTTGTTAACAATGGACACCTCACAATTTAGGTTGATATGATGCAAGATTGTTTCTGTTATTTTGCAAAACATTACATGAAAGTTTACTTATTTGAAATGCGAACAAACAAAAAATATATGTATGTAATGATTTCCATTTGGACTAGAAATAAATCAAACCGATACTGTTCACTTATTCTTGTCCCAAATTAAAGTTTGAATTTTTTTATCGTCGGTTGCATACCCCATCCAAATCTAAAATTTAATTATAATACTTTCAAACTAACGAATATAAAATAAACTAGTAAGTAAATTGTACCTATTCCTAATATAAATATTTTAAACAAGATGTAAATACGAAAATAATAGAATAATTCACGATAATTAAATAATAATTTAAGTAAGTAAAAAATAAGTAGTCAATTCAGCGCCATCTTTTAATGTGAAATTAAGCTGATAAGTGGTAAATGTATGTACAATAGTATAACTTTGACGTAAATCATTTATTTGTTGTGATTGTTCGAATTTTCGAAGTTACTTAACGTTATGATTGAGATAGAAGAAACGACTAAAAGATTCAGTCGCGTCTATAGTTGCCCAGATGAAATTCGCAACTTTCAAATCAGGTACGTGCATAGGCAAATTTCCATTCGATTTAAAATTGTGTAATTATTAGTAAAATACAAGCAATATTTTTATAGGATTCGATTAGAAGATGGTGAAAATGAAGAAGTCAAGGTGCTCAGGTGGCAGGAAAAGAAGTTCAGCAAATTCGAACGCGAATTGTACAATGACTCGAAAAAATGTTTATCGGATTTGGAAAAGAGTTATCACGAGCAGGTGAAGAACACAATGGACAGCAACGATGTTGTCTTTACGTACACTGGAGATGATGAGTACGAGAGCGAAGATAATTTGTTGTTTGAAGTTGGGGATGCTGCGAAATTTGGTGAAGGATACGATTTCGAGATGTCGTTGATGTCGTCCATGGCAACGCCACATCTTGAGCGAGACATTGAACACATGCAGATTATGGCGGACTTTGGGTAATCATTTAAATTAAAACTATCAGGAAGTTTACCTTCAGGATCTAAATATATATATATATCAATGTATCTAATTAAATATAGGCGTTATTTAAATGGAAATATTAAAAAAAAGCAACAAAAGTTAAGCAATCAGCGAAATATCATTAAATTTATCACATAGATGAATAATGGATGAGTGTGTTGTAATTACAAGATCATATGATTTTTTCCTTATATTTATGTTAATATCTCTGTTTTTTTTTTAATTAATTGTAGTGAATATTTTGAGGAGACTTGGTTGAAACGGGAGTACTTGCTGTGTCGACTCTGTTACAGCAAGAATACTAAAAGCTTAACAGTTTTCCCTGACTTTACGAAAACCAATCCATACGTGCTATCGGTGAATGCAGACAGTAGCAGGAAAATTAAATATTGGTTGGAGAATTCCTCTGAGACTTCAAAGGCGGACGCCGAGATTATAAGCGCGGTAATTTATCGCATTGTGCTTTATTCTTCTTCTATTTATATAATTCTGACTCATGCAGGTGGTTCTACACGAAGCGAAAGTCAGACGGGACATTTTGGCGGGAAAGCTATCATCGTTCAAGTGCATCGTCGAGGAGGGCAAATTGCAAGCTCATGTGTTCCTCGAGATACTCAGGGGCAAGGATTTCGAGGGCAGCGACGTCTACGTGCGCTTCTTCGTGGAATTGCCGGAAGGTTGGACAAGCGACGATCAACTGGACGGAGTGACTCAGGCTTCCGCGAACCGCAACGACGTTAGCCATTTCGGATTCCCGTTTGAGTTCACATTAGATCATCACCGCATCTCAGAAGGCGGCGATGGTAGATGCATAGAGCAAATAAAAAAAAGAATGCGGCGACAATGTCTGATTTTTGTTGATTCCCGCAGGTTTCGCGTCGCCAAAGATTTATTTCGAGGTGATGTCGAAGAGCAGCTGGAGTCGATTCGGATCGGAAGGTTTTGCGTACAGTGCGATTCCGATTTGGAGTCCTGGTCAGCACGAATTCCGCTTAGCCTGTATTCGTGTGGGTCCGAATTCGACGAGGAGCAACCTGAGGCGGTTCTTCGTAGGTGACGGTTTTACCTGCAAGGATCCTACCTGGGTCGGTGTACCCAGCGATCACCAGGTGCGTGGAGTTTTGGGTTACGGATGTTGTGGTGGGAAAATTGGGTCAAAGCGCGTGATCGAATGTTGCAGGGAAAAGTGATGAACAAGTTCGGCACGGATTCGGTGTGCGGAGGCGGCGAACTCGAAGTGAGGATGAGCATCATGATGCAGCGGAACGCGCGAGAAGTAGGCGGCGTCAGGGGCATGGACGAGACAGGAACGTCCCGTCTGCGCTTCCTAGTGGACCGTCTGGACTCGCCAGGTTTGGTCGAAAGCGTTGAGAAGGTCGTCCGGGCCTTTCAGAACGCCCGTAAAAACATGCTCAAAGCGCGCACGAAAATTTAGGAAATTAAAACGACGAGTAAAAAAAAGTAGCTTATTATTACATCAAGGGGGGCGGCGGAAGAGCTTTCACAGAGAGGGTGGGGGTTGTTGCATCGAAAGAGAAGTAGAAAGGAAGACAACAATGGAGTAAAAGAGAAAGAGAGTGGCGAGAGCAGGGAAAAAAATGAAGCGGAAAATTGTTGGGAATTTTATTAAATTTATGAATAACTTTTAGCTGGCAACGTCGCAACACGTTGCAGTCGGATCGATAGCGGTGTTGCCTCGGCACGAAAGTAAACCACATCGGAGAGCCTCGTTCGTTCCCGAGACTTGGAACTTGAAAATACCCGACAGAACTTCGTTCTTTTCAATAGCACCAATATTTTCAATACAACGAGAATGTCACGAGCGTTGCCTCTCGTTAACCCCGCACAAAAATCATTCGAAAATTAAGAAATATTCTAATTTGTTTTATAGTAACTTGGCTTCGTCCCTTAACCGATTCAAGTTTCTATTATGCATTAAGACATATGTCCAAGAAGCGGACTGAATAAGTCATACATGCAATACTTTGAACATACACATAAGTATAAGTTAATAATATAAGTTCTCAGTAAAGTTTCTTAATAAAAGGAATCTAATGATGATAGCATGTACTATTTTTGATATTTTATTAATCTAATTAATAACACCAAATTGTACTTTTCTAATTAAATAAATTAGTTACCAAAAGAAAGACTTCTTTCTTTCTTCTGATCATTTTTTTGTCTCTTAAAATAATTTAATTAAATTGGATTAGAAATGGATCGGTTCAGCGCATTTAAAAAGAAATATTCGAATTTTCTTCAAAATTAGCAAAGATTTCTACAGTGTATTTTCTTTCCACTTGGAACGTGATATTTCCAAATTAATTATATTTTGGTTATTAAATCTCACTGTTATGTATAATTATTTCAAGGTAAAGTTCGTTTACTGTTATTATTCCCATTGATTGTCGTCATTTTTCACAACAGAATATATACACACTAGCACACGCTGCTTGAAAAAATGCAGATAATTTACGTAATCTTGGGCGGATTTTGGGTTACGATCTTCGCATGGCCTTTGCCAATTGTCCCATGGTTTGCGACGTTGCCGTCCTCTTGCGAAACGACGTCGTGCAGACACACACACTGCTCGTACACGTGAACCCAGCAGTCAATGACACATTTCTCATTTGTGCCTGGACGCAGACGTGACAACCCAGGAAATAATACATTATCATTATTACCTGTAGATTTTCGCAGACGAAACGCAAACTAATCGACAGTCATACCAAGCAACAATAACAACAACAATGAGCTGGACCCTCTCTCTTTGCAGCCTCTGCCGAACCTTTCCATTGTTATTACGGCATATCCATTATTCGCTCTCATGAAATGGACTAATGACACTGGCAGAAAACAGGTCCGGCGTTATTTTCGGACAGCCAACTTTTCAATTCGCGCGCTTCATTTTAGCCTCACTTTTTTGTGTGTGTGTGTGAAAAGTAATTATATCTGCAGTCCCTGTGCACAACCGAATTTCGATCTACGTACTAGATGGGAAATAATATGGCAAAATGATATTGTGTATGCAGAAGAAGAAAAATTGTATGTGTATATGTACGCTATACGAACATTTCTACCATACAGACAGAATACGTTTAAAGAGGATAGATCCAAGCGCAGCTCGTGAGAGATATCCCTCCATCCAACGTGATTCAACTACATTTTCCATTCTATTCACAACACAACACACATATCCATTCAATTGATTTCATTTTCATCAATATTAGTCGAAGTTATTATCGTCCTTACGAAATAAAAACAAATGACGTTGCATAATGCGTAGAAACAAACAAAAGATATGCACAGTATCTTCACTACGTTATCTATTTGTTCATGATTAACCACAATTGTCATTGTATGATCATAATAACTATGTTTTCTGTCAATGTCTGCTCGTTTACTCAACTTCTAATCTAATACAGCTTGAGAATCCTACATAATTTGTCTACTTTAATAGATTGATTTAAAAATAGAATATTTTAATAATTTATATGATATTCTGTCATAGTTATAACATTGTCAACATGATATGAAACACCTTAAGCAGGTTACATAATTCGAAATCCTACAAATTATGGTGTAGTCATGGAAACGAATGAATCTGACGTAAATTGTTTACTATTCTTGATGATTACCATGACAATGCCAAAGTCACAAGTATTTTTTTTCATTATTAAGCATGCAGCAAACTTGACAAATTTCTGCATTTCAATAAATTCTTTTTTTTTTATTTTTGTTGCAATTCACGGAAATAAATTACCCACAATAAATTAATTGCAATTATACATAGTTGAATGTCACAATTACAGAAATGACCATGATTAGCGGAGTCGGAGCAGCAGCAACGTTGGTTCCGACCCTATTTCAAGGAGGATCGATAATCCGAAGAACAAAAATACTCGCGCTCTCGGATGTGCCTGAACTTTGCTAATAAAATTAATATTTCGAAGCGCGTTGCAAACGGATGCGACACGTATTTCAATTCAATCGCAATGGAAAAGTCCGTGAGGAAAACAGAAGAGATTTTTTACATTTTTTTTAAGATGTATCTGCATCAGTCATGTTGTCATTTCAATTAAATTTGTTGCAGGATTTTTACCGAACGTTAATTATTATCTAAACGCGTTACATTTAGCGCGATTGAATTACGCAACTTTCGGTAATTATCAAAGTGGCGTTGAGATAACCGGCGAAAACACGCGTTTTCCATATCGCAAATGTCACCTGTCGAAGTTGTCAAACTTGTCTCCGCGAATGTTATCTCATTACAATACGATTGTTTTGTGACTTATATTAAAATTAAAGTATTGTTGTTGTTGTTTTTTTTTAAATCATAAATTTAATAGATGTTTCTAAAAATACAACAAGCAATACAAGCACATAAATCTTGTTACGCTGATAACAACGTTTTGCCACGTAGGTTATTGCAACATCGAATTGGATTCATTTATGGTAGCATTTGTCGGATATAATGATGATGATCAAAATATAAAAAAAATGACAAGTATATCAGGCAAACTGTGATAACGACATTTTTTATGTATTTGGAATCGTATGAATCATAAGTATGAAATTGCGTGTCGATGTTTCCCATACAGAGAGAGAGAGAGAGGGGAAAAACAACAAACATGAATGATATTATCAAATAAATAAATCATAAAGTATTACTTCGGTCATTAGCTTGTTATATGAATCATTATTATTAAATTCTCACAATATCATATAATATATTAGAATAAAACACTTGTAATTATAATATACATTTCGGAGTAATAAATTATGATTGTGGTATTGTTTATAAACTATAATGAAATGTAATATGTCATAATGTAGTTGGAATATAAAAACAAACTTATCTTAAATTGATAATGTTATTTTCAGAATCATTATTTAACATTATTAAAATTTAGTTTTTTTAAGGTTAGGTCATGTTAAGTTAGGAATTATCAGTAGTATTTGCAAAATAATCTTATAAATTTGAAGATTAAGTTTTACTTAATTAATCTAAACCTAATAAATTTCTAAAATATATTGAATGTAAATGCTGAAGGAAAAATAAATAGAGATTATAATGAGATTATTTTGAATTAATTTCGTAAATTAACAGGAATACCTCGCATAGTGCGGGTAATCTATTTAAACCCGGACTAATGAAATGTATTATGTCATTATGTTGTTGGAATATAATAACAAACTAATCTTAAATTGATAACGTTATCTTCAGAATCATTATTTAACTATTTCATTGTAGATTAGGAAAAAAAAGGATCGATATTTCATGTTCACATTGCGTTTTTTGTTATTTAGTTCAACTTTGTGTAGATGTTATCTGTTGGTAATAAACGAATTTATTTCTATGTTTTAATACATTTTATTTGCGATAAAACTGTTTTTCTTTTCGTTCGTATTATACCAATTGTATGTGTTTTTATATCTAAATTATGTGAATTAAAACCGGATAAGAAACATGTTCATTGATATCATAAGCTTTTTTTAATTACTATTGTCTTAACAATTTAAGCCTTTCCTTCTTATCTTAATATATTTAATAGAATTATATCTTAATTTAATTAAAAGCTCCAGTCCATTAAAATAGGCAAACGTAGAAATGAATAAGATAAGTAAAAGTAATAATATTTTAGATAAGCTGGAATTTCTAAAAACAAGTATAGTTACATTTAGGTAAGAAATTGAATACATCTTGCAAAAAAATAGTAAGTTGAAATATGTAAGTACACTGTCAATAATGACAAATGTTATATACCATCAATAATGACAACTGTATAGTATACAGTGTTGTCAATAATGACAACTGTTATATACTGTCAATAATGACAACTGTATATCAATACACATACACTTTGATCTTCATCTGGATAAACTTAAGATTTTGTAGAAACCTTTTGCAATGAAAAAACAAATTATAAACATACCAATCTTTGCAAATGAATAATTATTTTCATTTGTTTTAACGATTTCCTTGTATACGTTCATCAACCATTACGTTTTAGTAAAATTACATTCTAATTTTCTCTACAGGATTTTATCCTAAGCAAAATGCAATTACTTTTTAATCAGTTCCTTCGAGCCTCAATTATAATTGCATTACAATGTCTATAGATACTTTTTTAGTGACGTTGTAATGAAACATACAGGGCACAACGCCTTTCCTGCTCGCAGATCCTGACCGCTTTTCCTCGATTGCTGTCCTCAGCAGGGCCAATTATGAATTAGCAGGACCGATCAATAGCTTTAGTTGTTTCTCCGCTCGACTGAGAATGCAGGGTTTCCATTCAAATATGATTAAATAAGTGAAACAATCGGGTTGAAACTTATTCAACTAAATAAATTTGTCTTCATCGAATTGAAGCCAGTGAAAAGATTTTTGTGTTCAATATATACTCCTATTTTTCCTGACAGGTCACAATCCCAGTAAGGCCCAGTTGTATAAACATCGGTAATCTGGAGTAAGAGTTAAACCAGGTTTAACCCAATTCGGTGCTAAGCATGGACTATAGTGAATATCTGACGAAGGTTTAAAAATTAAATCTATCGTACGCAATTATTGCAAACCTTGAAGTTAGATTTGAGGTTAGGTTAGAAGTTAGGTTAGAGGTTAGATTAGAAGTTAGGTTAGAGGTTAGGTTAGGAACTATCAGTAGTATTTGCATAATAATCTTCTAAATTTGAAGAAATTAGTGTCTTCATGTTTACTTATTTAATCTAAAACTAACAAATTTCGAAAATATGTTGAATGTAAATGCTGCAGGAAAAAACAGAGATTATTATGAGTCATAAGTTGCTAAATAGAAAATTTAAACTATTTATAAAATTAACTGTAAATATATTTTTATTTTGAATGAATTTCTAAAATTAACAGAAATACCTCGCATAGTGCGGATAATCTGTTTAAACCCGGGCTGTTTTGAAATTTTCAAACCCTATAGTAGAATCCGAACTGCACTATGCGAGTTATTTCTGTATTAACATATTGGTGTATTATAAAATTTTAAATTTCTTTAAGGTTGTCTGGTGATTTTCATTTAGAAAAAAAAAATCAATGTAACTTGTCAGATGTGAATGAACTCCGCAAGGTATAAAAATGAACAACATGTTAAGACTTATCTACGAACGCACGTAAATCAATGCGACTGGCAAAAAGGAAAGAAAATGAAAAACGACCTTTTCTCTATACAGAAAGAGCCTGTTTGTGTGTGAAGGCAGAGGAGTATCATCTGTGCTGGAACTTACTGGGGGACACACATTATCGATCGCGTATCCGCACGAATTGAAGAGACTCACTATTTATTTATAAAACCTTAACTATTTCTTTTCGTAACGTTCACATTGAAAAATCCTCTCGGTAATTTCGATTATTAAACTATTTTCGAAACAAGTCATAGACTTGTAGTTTTAGATTGTAAGTTAAAAATTAGTCTGAAAATGTTGTGGAGTATTTTAAGAATCTACAGTATTTTAACTAATAAAAAAAAAACAATAGCAACTACAACATCAGATAGAAACAAAAACTCTTTATAATTCTATTTCGTACTATAGAATTCAAGCTATTGCATTTACTGTTGTGACATCTGCAATGTTACTGATAAAATGATTAATTTTACTATGTTTTACTTTACTGTAAGAACTTAAATTGGAGCAGATCGATCGAGGTGCAGTTAGAAAGTGTATGTATATGTTTGAGAGAGAGAGAGAGGAATATGGGGTATGTTATATTACGTATTTCGGGTGTCATTTATTGCTTATGAAATGTATCATGCAAAACGTTGAAATGAAATCATTTATTTATGAATTAACATCCTTTTTTTGGTGTATTCCACGTCGAATGAAAATAGTTGTTCTTTACCAATCTCAATACAAATACAAATAAAAAAATATTGACTAAAAATAAGAAGACCTAAATATTACTTAGTCGTCAAGTTGATGTTTGAAATGTGTTAGATAAACTCACGAATTTAATTTAAAATTTATTTTCGTTAGTTCTGATACATTCTATAATCAATGTTTTTATAATTAAAACACTGACAAAATTCATTAAAATACTATGGTAATTACTGTCCATTGACCCTTTTCAAAAGTATTACAAGTAAATACTCAATCAAAATGAATAAAGTCAGCTTAGTCATGAATACTAACATAGTCATAATTATAAATAAATAAACAGTATCTTTATTTGCACATTCATAAATATATGTTGGTCAAAAGGCTATCGACCGAGGACTTTCATTATTTATAAGACACAAAATACTGTAAATATTAAAACATAATTAGATTTCATATATCTTTTTCAGTTTCGATTGTAAAATGTTTTATTATTAAGATTTAATTTATTATTTAACACCGTTTTATATTAAAAATTATTATTATTTGTACGTTAAATTTCCCATTACAATGATTCATTTGATTTTTTTTTGTATTTCATATTATTTATTACGTTTGGAATTGTATTATTGTATAATTGTTAAAATATACTAAAAATAACCATAGATCTTTCTGTCCAATAGATATTGTTATTATTATATGAAGTAATTATTATTTTAATCAAAATATCCATATGATACTCGTACTATATAATATTTGTACTTTGGCAAGACAAATGTATGGGTTTTGTTTTTATATTTACTGAAACTGTATGATGTTTTTACTAAATTTTGAAAATTCTGATCTAGTTTGTATCAAAATAAAATATCCATGACTACCATCTAATATTTGACAGGTAATTGTAGTCGACATGTGAGATGTATGGATTTACAATAAGTGCAAAGCTGTTGGTTATTAATTAATTGATGTGTCATTTTGCGTTGGAGATTTTAATGGGAGCGAATCGATCGAGGTGGAAGTAGAAGGTGATGGGGTAAGTACATAGAGTAGTGTAAATTATGAATTTCGGATGTTATTTATTGTTTACGAAATATGTGGTAGTCAGTCAGTCGTCGTCGGGTGTAAGCGAGGTGCTCTTTAAGGATACATCGGCTTTAAAATAACAGTTCTATGTCCGTCTCTCTCTCTCTCTCTGGAGGAAAGTTGAGAATCGGACGTAGCAAGCTACGAGGTACGTCGCTACGAACTTTTCGGGCTGCGCGCCTCACCGCACGAACGATTTTGGGCGCAGCGGCAGGGGCCCCCAACGAGCGAGATCCGCTTAATGTAGGTACGTTGCGTTCGGCAAGGATCGGGTGTCGTGGCCCCGCCATCGGTGGGGGCCCAGGATGCGCGCACGTCCTTGCTTGCATCGGACCATTGTTATTTCATGCGTCTCCGTCTGGTAGGAGCCGACGCCCCCCGACCGCGTACATTGGACTCGGCCAGACCTGTTTTTCGTTCCATCTCGAGCCACAACATGGCGTGCACTGTTTGAAAAAGAGCGTTACGGAAGATCCGTTTCCTCTCCGGTTTTGCGCCCTGGATGCACGACGCGAGGACCTCGCCACGAACCACCGTACCGCCGCCGTTAGGTTTCGATGTTTTGGCCGTTTCCACGACAGGCCAACACCACCAGAGCCCGCCTCCTCTCACACGCACCACGCGTTCCCCAGCCGTCCCCGCCGAACGGGATCCCCGCAACCTCGCGCGCCACCGCCGCCTCCGCCATATTGTTGTGTGTGTGTGTGTGTGCGCGGTGTCTTTCATCCTAACGACCGTAAAAAACAACCTCCAACCTTTCCTCCGGCTATCGCCGCCGCAGCCGTCACCGTCCTCCACGTCTTCGTCGACAACGTCGTCTCCATCGTCGCTGTCTCCACCTTCAACGTTATTGTAGTTGTTGTTGTTCTTCTCTGTTCTTCAGTGCGAGAGTGCATATGTGTGTGCTTCATAAAACAAACGACCAGTGCGGGATACGCGACAACAACACGACCTACCAACATTAACTTCATCCTCCTCGAAAACACACACACAAATACATACCTATACAGGCGCACACACAGGCAAACATTATTCCGTTTCTTCGTCGCCGCTTTTTCATTTCTCACCGCATACCTACTTCTTCGACAACCTTTTTTCCTGCCACCTTTAATTTATACTTTACACCATACAATCATACGTACCACCATCCAGGCCAATTTCAAGCAAATCGCAGTCTAGTGGTGTGTGCAATAGCGAAAACGAAAATTCCCCAAAAACGAGGAGCCAAAAGAAGCAGAAAAGTGCGCGAATAATCGAAGACGAAGACGTACACATCCATACCCACACACAAACACACGTATATATATATATACGAAACGGTAACGGAAAGAAATACGAGGAAACATACGAAAAAAAACGTGCTTCACGTGCGGCAGTGTGTGTGAAAGAGAGAGAGAGAGATAGATAGAGAAAAAAAAAACGGGGATTTTGGATTGCGCAATTCATTTTCTCCCGAAGGGAAGAGGAGAGAAATAAATAGAATAATAATAATATTATCAAACGTGGAACAGGACTTTTTAAACAATACACCTAGAAAGTGGCTGTGCTTTTATTTTCTAAACAAGAAGTTCGTAACCAGTGCCGAGCAAATTTTCCGTTTCCCATTCTGCAGAGAAGCAACGTTACAACAATACACGACGCGTATTTCGGATACAGCAATATTTTGTTTGTTTGGAGGAGATTTTACGAGGAAAGAAAAAACCAACCCGCGTGTGCTCTTGTGAGAATACTTAGTATAATGTAATGGAAACTGTCCATTCATTGAGAATAGAACATGGAACCGTGCAAAATGCGAACATGTCGTATTCCCAGCGCCAGCCTCCAAATCACAGGTGAGTCTTCTTAACTTCTCTGAAAATCAACTTTCATAAAAGTGCTGTTTTGAGTGAAACAAAAAAAAATAATTATAACAAAAAAAAACACAACATGCAAACACGGAGCTAGATAGAGTTAAGGAAAACATCGGTCGGCCTTGAAAAAAACAAATTTTATTTCGGTTTTGTTTTAAATTCTTTGATTCTTTTTTTTTTTGATTGCTGTTTTATTCCGAGGCTGACGTTTCGAAAGATTCGGGGAAAACGTTTGGCCTTTCTAATAAATGAATGCGTTCGCGAAACGTGTCTGGAAAATTTTTGCTAATTACAACCAACATATGGTTCATTCACTGCAATTTCTGTCTGTTCCCTTGCAGATTGCTAAGATGTTTTTCTTCTTCATATTATTACCCAATTCGAAGACGAAGACCTCGTGGCTGATGGAATATTTTATGATTACATCAACTTCTGTTTCGAACGAACACACCTTTAACTATATACAATGAATATTACCAAACTAGTTTACAATTTGAGTTTTTAACGAAATTTACTAGAATATTTATTTTGAGATATTTTTTGTTTGTTTAGTAATTACAAAATTTGATCGAAAGATCTCGTGGTTGTAAAATATGTTTACATATCAAATTTTGTTTAAGAAAATGGTTATATTCAATTTTAGAGTACTCAAAATCAATATTTGTATTTTTAATGTAATATTAATTTGAATTCTCAGTGATTACTTGATACTTTATTTAAGGTAGTTTTTGTTCGATTATTATTTGAGATTGTAAAACCTCGTGGCTTTGAGAATATTTTAATTCTTACGTGAACTTCCGTTCAAACGAACCAAAAAAGATTACACACAATATTTGACTACATATGAAGATTATTATTATAACTTCTGTGTACAAATTCAGCTTAATTCTCAATAGCAAATCTCTAAAATAATAGTTTTTTAATAAGAAACTACGATAATTCTTGCCTAAATGTCTAAATGTCTAAATCAAAGATTTTCGTTGAATTAGTAAAGGACAAAATTCTTTACCTGATTTTACCATCCTTTATATTAGGTTAGGTACCTCTAACTTTTCAATATAATAGTCTAAAAGCAATATTTTCTAATCCTGTTTTGAAAATTTTCTAAGAAATAGATTTAAGGAAACTTACGCAGAAATTGCCGTCTATTTATTTTACTTTGTCAATGGAATACTCGGAAACTTTGGCAATTTTATGTTATTATTGAAAATGTGTAGATAATACTTTAAATGAGACTTTAAATATAGTATTTTCTCGACAGAATTGCTTTGTTTTTCGAAAATTTTGGAAAATAAATCTATTGAAAAACTTCAATATGTTTGGTTAAAAGCTGCTTTTAACATAATTTTAACATATATTGAGCAAGGAAATTATTAGTTTCAAATCATAAATAAAAATGTATAACAGCTGACATCTTTTAATCTATGAGTAACTACTTTAATTTTCTCTTTGACATTTGCAGAGTAGATTCGAATGGAAATGTCAAATGAACGGTTCTAAAGGTGCTTTTAGTCCTAGACATTAAGTATTCAGATTGAGTGAGAAAACGAACGGTTATAAATTTTTATATATATTTCCTTTATCGTCACGCACAGAAATAGATTTCTTTTGTGCAGAATTGTACAGTCTTCAATTTACAGTCCAATCATATTTTTTAAAATTATTATCATTTACTGTAGAAATAATGTTTTTCTGATGAAAACAATTGCTTAAAATGAAAATATACTTATTTTTTTCTACCTTTAAACATTGTTTGTTAAAGGAAATATTCTAATAATATATATTTTTCTTGTTTTCTTTTAATCGTTTAAAAAAAAAACTATGTAATTTAAATCCTATCATGCTACTGCAAATTTAACTAACAAACTTTAAATCGAGACGTACTAGTCTATGATAAGAATAGAGGTTCCGATAATGATTTTATCTATATTATTGATTAGACATTTTATGTGAAATAATAGTTCGTAGAAGTGAGAGAGTCAGTGAAAGTTCAATATTGTAATCACCGTGAGTGATTTAATGCGATATTGCGGTGATAACACGAAGACGCTCGATGCGTTATCATCTTCCAAGCGTTCTTATATAGTACAGGATGTCGCGTTAGAGTGAAATAGTTTACAATCGTTTACGGTTAAGTGTGCATTGCTTAAATTTAGAAGGGGGCATTATTTTCTCGTACTATTTATGTAATCGACGGCGTTTTCCTACCGTTTCGACAAACTTAACCATAATGCAAACTTAACTAATGTAAAGGGAACATAGTTATATTTACATTTTAAATTCTACGGTTACCTGAAAAACAAAAAACATTCTTAAAATATTTTAGTTAATTAAGAATTGATTCTATAATTCAAAATATGGTAAAAATTTAGATATTATAGACAATGTGTTCTTTAATAATTGCTGAAATTGACTGTTTGTTGTTTTCTTGTGGAATAACTCGGAAACGTATTTTTAAGGAAAACAGGCAATTACTCGCCTCTTCCTAATGAAGCCTTAATAATTATTCTTTGCGAAAATGAAATTTAAAAAAAAAACACACCATATTCGCTTATATAACTACTATTAATAATATATTTCTAAAAAAAAAAAGAACCAAGTGCGAACAAGGTTCCTCTGATCTAAGTCCACTATATGACTCACATGAATGGAATACGAAGAAGAACAACAAAAAAAAAAAAACAATATTTGCACGTTGGATTATTGCGTTATATTTAGTTCTTTCCTTTTTATTTTTTAAGTGGAAGAATAACTTATCAATAATTAATCTTTGTGTCCGTATTTCAATTTGGATTAGTTGAACAGACACATTGTGTATGATAGATTGATAGTTACAAAGTAAGCGTAAAAGTTTTGGTCTTTGTAAAAGGTAGAAAATATTGGTTTGTAGAATCTATGGACTTCCATAGAATCGTAAATCCAGGTAGTAAATAGAAATGCTTCCCTCCAAATAACCATGGAAACCATTAAGCGTATTCGAAACCGTCGCGGCGTTGCCACGTTTAAGGCTTAAAGAAATGCCGTTAGGTTCGGGCGATTCGCGCAAATGGTGAGCTCTCTGCTCTGCAAATGACTATACGTTTAAAGACATCGACCAGGATTATCTCGTATACCCAATAAATTCAAGTTTTAGGAATTGTTACGTGAATTTGGTTAATTGCCTGAAAAAATATCGATCTTTGCTCAAATCAATGAGAGGAAAGAAACGTAGAAATTGTAATATTTGCGGAATTGATATTTCGTTTCTAAGGATACGACGCATTTGCGTAATTCCGTGCGTTTTTTTTGGGGTTAAGGTCAACGCGTGTTTTAGAATTTCTCGAACGTCCTCCTCTCTACCGCCAAGATGTTCGTTGTTTCTTTTTCTCGTTTGTTGCGTCGTGTCTATTTGCATATTTCGTTGGTTGGTTTGCGCAAATGGTGCGAATTTGAACCATTGCAATTATTGTAATTAGAGAGTCGATTTATCAAAACGCTTCGTTTACGGTCAACGTAAATAAATAATAAAGTTGTACAAATGCAATTTCGCCCTGGGGAAAATTCAGCAATTCTGATTCTCACCCTCCCACACACGCAACCGATATATGCAGATGGATTCGATTTCGTGAATTCAACTGACATTATTGAAGCAGAGGAATTTCCATTCTATCAATTTCTGTCGCATTATTTAATACTTTTTTTTTATTCATTATGCAATATCAAACTTCACTATTTTGTAGTATCTTTTAGTTTAAGATTATTATAGTTTGACTATAAACTACCCAAAGTAATGTGAACAGAGCCTGCAATATAAATTGTTAAATTTTGAATTAATGAATAAGGAATAAGGGGAAAAAATATGTTTTTGTTCATCCTAGATCTGAATGGGTACAATGTTATTACTTATGGGGAAATGTTCCTTATTCATTTTTAAATGTTATTCAATGAAAGATCTATTTAAGTTTCTTTTAAAGCATTTTTTTTTTATTATAACAACCTTTATTTATAGAAAGTAATTAACATATAAAAAACATTTTGCATATGTAAACATAAAAAAGAAAACTAATTTTATAGACCTAATATTTCCATATCTTTATTTGGCTTTAAAACATTAAATTTAATCTTTTGTTTCTCGATACAAACGTTTTATTAAAATTTTATTGCAATGACTAACGCGTATACAAAACAAACATAAAAATAATACAGGTAAGATATAATGAGAAAAAAAAAGGTTTGTTACAAATGTTTTAGCAAATTGTAATATTATATTTTTAACTTAAATTTATTAACCTTGTATATAAATAGCAATATTTAAATTTCTCGTTTCGTTCAACTATTCAAACAGTCAATGTGAAAAAAGCTTTAATAAATTCAGAAATAATTAAAATGGCTAAATAGAAATTCTCGCTGAATGCACAACTTTCTTAACATTGTTGCATGAATACTCTTATAATGAAAAAAAATATATATAATAAAGGTACTACGTACCTTGAAACCGGTTTTTATTTATATTAAACTTTACCCTAATTCGAAATTCCGTTAAAAAAAGTAATGAGTAAGGGGAAAAAGTGTGAATGAAGAAGACACGTCGACAAGTCTATGGAAGCTTCGTGTAGGGAAACATTATTAGGGGACACGAATAATGAAATACTATATAGTTCTTTATCTGGATTTGACAGCGGCTTCTTCTTCTCCATCTTCAGGGGTTATCTAAAGTAACGTGTTCATCTGAACAAACCACGAACTTTGTGGATAAGAGAGAGAGAGAGAGAAAAAGCACGCTCAATATAATCGTCAGAATTGTTTGCAAACTGCGGACGTTTATAGAAGTTTCGCAAATAATGTAATTACTTGGTGAATAATAACTTATTTGAACGGTTTCTTTAATAATAATAATACTATAGGACAGTGAATTGAAGAATTAACATCTTTTAGTTTGCTTTTAGTAAATGAATTTTATTTTAAATGTATCACGAAGAAAACTGTGGTTTTGTGGGTAATTC